TATCTGTTGGGGTCATATACGGATATCCATGCAAATTAGAGAGTTATATGCAAATTTTAGGGACTACTTTCACAGTGTAAAAAAACCAAACACACGTGTCGGCGATCGTGTCCGGATTGACGGCCGTGGTTACGGTACTGTCAGTGCTTTGATCCAAGAAAACGCATGCCTGGCTATAATACAAGGAGTGGACTTCGAAGCGAAGACAGAAATTCATAGGCTTACAAAGATACCAACACCAGTTCCCCGACCGACTGTCAGTGTTAGCGAGAGGACGGCGCAGGAATCCAGGTGCAGAATGTCACGCGAACATTAAAGTGTATTTGTTGTTCAAAAGGTTAATTTAAGGTTTCTGAAGTTCCACACGAGTTTGTTGTTATTTTTCAAACGTAAGCTCAGATTTGCTGACAACAATACGTGCTTCAACATAACACCTTACTGGGAACTAGATGACCTAACGGAGTCAGTTGAGTGATCAGTAGAAAATTGTGTCACAAGTCTTGTGACGTAACGTATTAATTACTACGCACATATTTGTGACGTCATAGACAGTTTCATGATTTGTGGCATTTGAAATCGCATTTTTTTAATTATAAGGGGGGAATGACATTGTATATCACACCGTTTTGGGATGGTAAATATCCAGTATTAGGAATAAACACTATTAAGCTCGCCAAGGCTCGCTAAATACAATGTGTATTCCTAATGCAGGATATTAACCATTCCAAAACACACTCGCGTAATAACCTATATATACCTCCCTTTAACTATGTGTCGTAAATGCCTATGCCTCCCTATATCAATGTGTCATACATGCATATACCTTTCTATATCAATGTGTCATAAATGTATATACCTCCCTATATCAATGTGTCATAAATGCCAGTGCCTGTCTATATCGATATGTCGTAAATGCCTATACCTTTCTATATCAATGTGTCATAAATGCCTATACCTTTCTATATCAATGTGTCATAAATGCCTATACCTCCCTATATCAATGTGTCATAAATGCCAATACCTTCTTATTTCGATATGTCGTAAATGCCTTTACCTTCCTATATGTCGTAAATGCCTATACCTTCCTATATGTCGTAAATGCCTATACCTCCCTATATCGATATGTCATGAAGGCCTATACCTCCCTATATGATATGTCGTAGATGTCTATACCTCACAATATGATATGTCCCTTGACAATCACCACAACACGTGTTGCAGAGTTAAGCAGAGTTAAGTTACGTTCAGCTACATCATTGATAAAGATTAAATATTAAATATTGATAATTATTATAGATAAAGGTAGTTGTTGTTACAGATGACTTCATCCATGAGATAACCGTGTATTGGCTGGTGTTGTAGACTGTTGCCAAGTCTCTGTTTTTTATCACACCCTAATCAGTTGACTGGAAATACAACCGCCATACAACATCGGTCAATGTAATAAGTCAACCCCCGGATATACAGGTAAACATTAAATGGCGATTCGTGGGTTGTGTTTATGCCAACACAAATACAAATGAACTGCAAAAATATTGATTCTGATAGATTCTAAAGAATTATCAATGGACTTTATTTGTAAACCTACGGCTGATGGAATATTTTTCAATCCGGCGTGAACAGGAAGCGCGACCACTGTTGCTCATTGAGAAATTCTATTTACATTCCAGTAATATTCTATGTGTCACAATGTCAGACCTATTGGATAAATCTGAATGAGAAACGAAATGTCTAAAGAGAAGTTTCCCAGCTTCCTGATGACGTGAGCTTCATGAATAATGTCTGTATGGATCAGCATGTTCTATAGCTCGCCTACTCGTTATGTATGAATATTGGATAGTCGTAAATATTTAAATTCACCTGAATTTCATCAGTCACAGATAAATTATTGTTGATCATATAAATACTTATCATCAGGCTGTATCGCCTTGTATAGATCAACACCAAGACATGATGGTTGCTTATATACTATTATTTGCCCGATTCGCAATGCTATCGCTGCATGGATTTGTCCAATGGCTGACAAGATAATTCGAAGTATACTGACGGACAAAAGTGGGTATACACCAATGTTTGATGGTGGGTAATAGGGGTGACTATTGAGGGGGAAACAACTATTGCGATACTATAAATGTATAGTTTATATGAAAAAGAAACAAGTTGAAGTAGTTTCAGTCTCTTTGAATAAGTGCCAAGAAACTTGAAACCCAGATCAAGTAAACAGTTAAAATGAAGCTGCAAGTGTGCACCCAAACATCCTGTATTTGCGCTGCGCATTTATCAACGGAAGTCAATTACTAAACTATCGATACTCACACATTCTATCGATGCATCCATAGTTTTTCGTTTCTACCATCGATTAATTGCCATCGGAGACTCAATAATTGCAACCTATCGATAGTTCGATGTATCGTTACAGCCCTCGTGGGTAAAGTAGAAACAAACACGAGATGTTATTCATTGGTGATGTCATTGATACAGGCATCAGCGTTGTTTGTTGTTGAGTAAAATGTATACAGTGTTTGTACGGGGTATAAGGAGTATGTAGTGTCTTCGTCAAATGCAGTCTTCATGCGTATATTTTCCATACAGTTTAGCATCAACATCGTGTTATCGATTGTTCGAACAAATAATATGAAATGCTCTCAACAAGTTGAAGAAATATTGTTTCTGTTCACACGTATTACCCTGCTAGTTGCCGTGGATTAGGAGTGAGTGATTGCTACTTCATCAGCTCATCGAATCCTAATCCGTAGATCGATGCTTATGCTGTTGATCACCATATTGTCTGGTACAGATTCGATTATTAACTGACTGCCGCCATATTGCTGAAGGCGGCGTTAAACAGCAAACAAACAGCTGAAGGCTGTCTTCATCCATGTGTTATTAAAGGCTGTCTTCATCCATGTGTCATTAAAGGCTGTTAAGTGCTGATTGGCCCTCTCATGGAATTACTTGACATTCAATCATTCACAGCTAACACTATCAACAGTAAAAGGCATTTAAGTATATACTACCATGTAATTACTTCTTCTGTGTACACTGTAATGACCTTGATTACATTCAACTACATGTATCTATATTAGCCAATGTGATACACGATATGCCAGAACGAACTACGCTTGAAACTAAGAATCATTCGGACATGCGTTCGATAGAATATATTTGTTCTGACTCTCGTCTCGATTAAACAATAAGACACCTATTCTCATGTATTAATCTCTGTCTGTACAGGGTCCATGGAACGCGTTAACCTCACAAATACAGACAATTTCATTGAACTATGGATGTGCGCCAACATCAGACCTGTCTTACCACTGTCAGTGGGTTTGGCATGGTGACTCGAAATGTGAACAAGATCCTATGACGCCAAGCGAAGCACTGTGACGTCATCATGACATGCAGGTCAAATGAGATAGATGTATTTTATTATGAAAAGTAATATGTATTTTTTTCTTTAATTTAGATGTTTTCACGACAAGCAACATGTCAATATATTTCACTTGAAAATTGATAACGCTGACAACACTATTGTATTTCCCACCCAAAAAATAGATAAAAGGAATCTATGAACATTACACAGCGACAAAAAGGGACTGTTTAATTACTTTTTATCAGATTCAAAAGCTCTAAAGCTATGGATGCATCTGAAATGCTTCATGGATGAAACAGGTGCCAGACCAGATACCGTATTTACTTGATCATAATCACAGTGCATGACGTGGATCCAGTATATAGATGTAACAGTACATAACCCAGAAGTTGATCTTCTTGCACCGACATGTTGAACAAATAAATATCATACAAGCAGCCATTAATAAAATTCCCAGCATCGGCATCCAATTATTTCAACAAATAGTAAAAAAAATCCATTACTTTTCATTAAAGTGAAGCCAGTCTATCCTTGCGCCAGAGCGTTATCAAGCGTGGGAGGAGGTGCAACAGTTTGTCATTGATCATAGCAACCTCTTAACTTACCAGGCTTTTACAAAATAACCCATTTCGTCCATAAAGATATATTTAGAAATTTCTCATCAGTTACAAGACAAAAAATCACTTCCTTGTCGAATTAACTTGAAGTGGTTTCTGTTTGGGAATCTCATCACGGCCGATCCCTTCCATCAGCTGGCTTAATCAAATGAAACTGTATAGCGAAGTTAGGGAGAAAGCGTTAAATTTGCTCGTAAGGTTTTTACCCGAACACTGCAGCCAATCTTGCTGAAGCACTACCTGTCACTTCCTGTATGATGTAACTGTTCCCTATGACCGTCGTAGGTCACACTGGCTGGGCAACGGTAGCCCCAGGCCACTGCGAATGGCAAACGCTAAACGTATCGAATTGACTGATCAATATCACATTTTGTTCAGCTATAAACCTTTTAACGTTTGGACAAGAGGTGTTTTAGAGCAAAACTGTTTTGTAGATCGATAAAATGTGAAATATTTTAGTTATACGGAAATATAATTATGAGTATATTCATAAGGTTTGTTACTTCCAAATTAATGTTACCAAACGAAATCGATAAGAGATAAAGGAGCTTGTACTAAAACATAAATACTCAAACTTGAACAAACTTAAATAGCCGCCACGAGAAATATATTTATTCCAAATTGATATTGGTGCATAAACTATGAACAAAATACCATTAATTCTTATATCCAAATCAAACAATGGTTGTGAATATAGTTTTGTTAGACAATATAACGTTATTTGTGGTCTAATGCCATTTTTATCTGTGTGGCTACCCGAGAAAATCCGGGTTAGAATCGTTCTTCAGAATCCTTGCTTGTCGTAAGAGGCGACTAACGGGATCGGGTGGCGAACCTCGCTGACTTGGTTGACAACGTCATCATATCCCATTTGCGTAGATCGATGCTCATGCTGTTGATCACTTGGTTGTCTTGTCCAGGCTCGATTATTTACTGACCACCGCCATATAACTGGAATATTGAATTTTAAACAACAACAGAAAACACAAACAAACAAACATCTTTGAAGACATAATTACATACAACGCTCTATAGTGTCTCTTCGAGACCCTGTGTTGTACAGATACAGGTGGTGCTGTGACTCTCATCTTAGGTTCAACAAGGACATCTATTAACCTTTACCTCACTCCGAATCGGGCTATAAATTATGGACAGTGCAGCACTCTCATTATTCTAATTAATGACATTTAGATCTTCTACTATATACACGGGGATCTGAAACAGTGCCACTCTTTATGGAGAGACTGCGTTAGTACTCCATTACATCATACAGTCAAAAGCAGTACGCAACCACGTGCTCCGCTGCACCATTGACACTCTTAGTCTGTCTCTCAGTCCTTGAACCACATTATTGTCCCTACTGTCCAGCTCACCTTGCAATGCTTAAGTCCTAAACGAAGAAAGTCTAGAATTCTTCTTAATTTCCAATCACACCGGGGTTCCATTTCAATTTAAATGGGCTTATTTGTTACTATCAAATTATATATATTCAGAGACAAAGCCTTAGTCTATGCCACACTCTGCAAATGGACTACGAATTGCCATACCGCCTCATGCAATTAACAGTCGTCTGAGATCACGTGCAGCAATATTAAGTTGGTTCTCTCTATGGAGAGAGACTACGGTAGTGCTTCACCGCCCCACACAACAAACAGCGGTCGGTAACCAAGTGCAACGACATAACGTCTCCACTCCCTGTAGAGAGACTACGGTAGAGCTACAGCGCCTAGTACTGTACACACCAGTTGGTTACCACGTACAGTGATGGAGCGACCGTGACTGCATCACGGAACCCAACCCTCCATATCCCAGGAAACGTAATCAAAGTGGACATACGCCCATAAACCATGTGGCTGTTCAAGAAAGGTAAGTACTTCCCATCATAACATCTAAACGTGGTGTGTTTGCTGGGATGCCTTACTTTGTGATACTTAAACTGTACACAGAGTGACACTTGTCTGTTACATCAGCTGTTGAAGCGATGTGCCAACGCCATCGACACGGATGACTAAGTGGCGGTCACAATGCTGTGTGTATATCAGTTGGTGTACCAGTACTATAGATGTTTGTTTATATCGTATAAAGGCAAAGCTTATAGTTTTATATGAACAGCTGTGTTTTCCAATCAGTGAGTTACGAAACGAACTACCAACAATGTTAGGTTTTGTGGTTGAGTTTCACTGGAAGACATTCTTCTGTCTTTTAATGTCAAAGTGTTGCTACAAATAGTCGTTGACCGCGGTGTGGGCTGAGATTTTCAAACTGTGGGTGAAATATCAGAGGTGTTAGCCGTTGTATCTATATCATTACATCTGTCTCGATCAAAACTCACTGCCATTCTCGTGCGTGCGGATAGAGAACACGTGCACGTACTTGTGCAGATACATTTTCAGGATAATGACTTACATTGACTCATTGACACAATACTTACAATCAACAACATGAGACAGTAGTTAAATGTACAACATGTATTCTGTGTTGACGGAACCACGGTTGGCCAGGTGTTAGGTACTGAGACAGCTGTGCTAGGTTGATGTTTCCTGGACCAGGTGAAATTGACAAGTGTTCATTACTGGGGAAATATTGAGTGATTGATTATCGATTAGGGCCATTCAACAGCTGTTGTGTAACCTTGCCTTCAGGCGGTGTCCTAATGATTTGTAATACACTGGAGTTCTGTATGTTTGTAGTTGAATGACACATTAGTGACAAAGGCACAAAACATAGCAATAACACGCGTGATTTTAATGATGATGATGAAGATGATGATGGTGATGATGATGAGAATGTAATGACAGTTATGACGCTAATGTGAAGCAGGAATTGATGCTGATGACCAAAGGGGCGTGTCACGCTTAGAAACAGCGTGAGAAAGACATAGAGGTATATAGATCCTACCCTAGTACTATATCCTTTCATATAGTCAATATACCCATATGTCTTGCTAACGCTGTTTTGAAGCGTAACACGCCCCTGTGCTGATGACGACGTGAACGACCATGTTGTGATGATGATGATGTGAGGATGATTATAATAACAATGTTGATGTGAAGAAGGAATTGATGTGATGATGGCTACATCAACAACGACGACGATGACGATGATCTAAATGACGCATACGTTTCTTCTAAGCACGTCACAATCACACTCCATGTTCCATGTTAATGCTACATGAAGTACGTTGCACCAACCCAGTTTAATGCTGCACATGCACAGATATGCTGGCTGTGTTGGTCAGCCACTGAATATGTGAAATAATAATATTTATAAGCCAAGTTAAATGACAACGAGATTGGATGACGTTATTTGCAAGTCAAAATAGTAAAAGTCCTCGCCTAAAGGTCATAGGCTTGAAATATGTCTGTTGTCATGCCTGCTTTTTTATGTATGGTAGATATAAACCATAATCGGCACATTCATAGATCGAGGAAACAATGTTTGATAGGTTCCAGTTGGTTGAAGGAAGAGGCAACTCACGTCTACATATGACACGGGGATGCCATGAGATCCTTATCAACATAAATCCCTCACCAAGAACCATTAATAGGCAGAATGAAATTACTCTTTGGAAAACTTGATGTAACCAATCAGATACAAAGTTTACAAAGTGTTACTAGGTTAAAAACAGTCGGAGAAACACTGCCAGCTCATGGCAATGTTACCTGTATGAAATATATGACTATGGAGTATTCGTTTCTTGTTCATCTCATTTCTGCCACCATCGAATACACGTGTACATGCACTTTCTTTTATCAGGCAGTTTGTTAAGTTGCCGTGGCCTTGTAAACTACATGTGATGACTTGTTGCTGTTTTACTACTCCATCCTATGTTCTATGACATTTGTCTACCGCACACAGACACATCCTGAAACAAGACATTATATGAATCACCATAATTAATAAGCATACGCTGTATTAACACACGGCAGTGTTTGATGCTGTGTTAAGCTTCCACAAGGATGCTTACAGATGGTATATTGAGCCCAGCTGCTCTTTACATCCCAGCCCACCTGGGTGTGGAGATGTTGCTCTCCTTCACACTATTCGCGATCCCGAGAACCCAAGTATGTCTTCAGCTATTCTAGGACTTCCTTCTACATCCATGCCTACATGATAAAGCATTAGTGTTGTAGGAAAACCCCTTTCTTCCCACTCAGTAACTCAAGTCTATTGGAGACACGGAAAACCCAATCTGTGCACTGTTAGCTGAGAAAGGTTAATTTCAGGATAGAACCCTCGTGGTGGTTGCCCCCCGTTCAACACGAAGCCAATTAATCGCAATTAGCAATAATTATCACTGATGTTTCCCACGCTAAAACAGTTCCCATTGCGAACAATCAAGCACGTTTGGTTTCAGAAAGACTGCAATTTAATTTTAAGGAAGAATTTAATTTGATAGAATCTCCAGCGCGACCAAAACTGCAACCACTAAGTGATGACGCCATTTCCGTAACTATATGCATCTCCTATCGATGAGGGCTTAGACTAACGCTTAGGCTCTGAATATATATAATATTGGTAGAAACAAATAATTCCTTTTAATTGGAAGGGAACCCTAGTGAATCTGAGGAAATTTAGACTTGCTTCATTTAGGGCTTAAACATTGGCGAAAGGGCTAGGTGGAAGGGAAATCACATAGTTCAGGGTCTGCGAGACAGACTAATGAAACCCCAGCTAGCGTGATTTATGGTCCGACAAGGCTTTCATAAATCAACAAGATAGGACTTTACTGAAACTTTACCGTCCTCATCACTGAAATACTATCTGAATACTGGTCACAGTAGGGCGATTCTAGTGAAAGACTTCTGGTATATATGGAATCGTTTACATTCCTGGAAGCGCACTGTACAAATATTGACCAACCCGTGGTACCGTTAGGTTGAATTCAAGACAGCTGATGCATGCCGGTCATATTTAGCTTGTTTGGATAACATATCCATTTGACATTAAAGGGATCCTCGCCTGCTGAATCCATTCCCCTAGTACTGCGAGCACATGCCAACGGGAAGTGGAATACCACTTTAAGCTATAACGGTTAATCGTCGATGTCCCGTTACAGACGTTACCAAAATGTGGGTATTCTTGGATTCCTTAACAACATAGGTGTTAGGTCACAGTTATCTGTGTAGTGTTCGTGGTGGGATGAGGTGACTGTCTGTTATTGGAAGATCATTCTTTTTCGATCCGAGTTGCAAACTTATTCGCCATGTTTTACAGCTCCACATAGTCTGAGCCTAAAACAAATATTTCCAAGGCTATGATGTATATGTAGCAAGTGTGACTAATGCACACAAGATTACTGCAATGCCAAGAAACTATGATGGGAATCTGTTGGTTCCTTAACCTTATGAAATTTAAGGATAACATAACATTAGTTTTAACAATGGGTGTCACATATGTCCCTCAACCCACCATCGATCACGCATCCGTGGACAGAGCCTCTGTTCTGAGAGTGTAGGGTTGGTGGTTCAATGACGGGCCAAGTCATACCACATCACGTTAAAAGAGTTAATTGTAGGTTTCCTGCATAGCGGTCGCCATTAAACAACGAATGACCGGCTCGGTGTCAGTATAATGTCACTGAGTTGGCTGTCCAAGATAAACTGGTATCTCAGTGTTCTAGCATTAGGAAACCGGCATCAGTTACCAGACTGGTAGAATCATTTCTTTTCACCTTGCCTAAGATGTAAATAAATTGACATATTACAAAAATCATGATCCTACTCGTGTCCATGAAGACATGCACTACCGGCCTATCTGGGCTCGTTAATTATCCGGATCTAATAACCGGAATGACACCCATCTGCCTGTACAATGCCTCCTTCCCTGGAGTAAGGCTTCCACAATAATTGTCCTCAAAGTGACTGATTACTGTAAACTATTTTGCTCTCATGTTTAATGAACGGTACCTGCATAGAACGTGACGTTACCTATGTGGATATGGACACTTATACCGGCACGGTTAACCTTGACCTTTGGTTATACACCGACTCTCCAATGTATCACGAAACATATCTCCATAAGTCTTTACGAAACAGATCAGACATTTCATATAATTATAGCAAGGCTACTGTCGCTCTTATTTACGTGTGAAGTGATATTTTTATTGATTTTATAATAATGTATTGATCCTTTTTCATATTGCGATTACTAACAATGTTTCAATATACAAACTCTAAGGTGGCCATACCCCATATCACTGCCGAAATTCAGAAGGCTTTCTAAATGATCTGTGCCATGAAAGTTTTGAAAATACGACCAACAGTTATATCTCAGGTTCGAAACCTCAAAAGAAAAGGTTGGAGAATTATAACAGTGACAATTATATTGGGCAATATGTTGGCTCAACACTGAATACTGAAAGTGCACAGTATAAAATCTTTCTTTCAGAATATATTGCCCTCTAGATTATCATACGTGTGGAGGCATTAATACATTCGACGATATTATTTTCATTCCGATAGTTAAATTTATCTCAATTTGTGTGGCAGATTATATTGTGTGCCTTATCAAGCGGCAGCATGGAGGAAGTCAGGGAAGTGTTCTCTGGCCGCATGTATGGCTGCTGTATGAGACACACACGAACGCTGTTCATTATGAAACACTGAACACGATCCGTCCACGACGATGACGGTAAATCATGTCCACGCCTATTGGGAATGTCGATCAGCAATCTTTTTGCCTCGGCGCTAGCGTTATTAACATGATGTGATTTGTCAAGTATCAGAGTTTGTCCTCCCAGAGGAGCAGTCTGAATCATTAGCATTCCACTATCCGAGATGTTATTAAAGTGTCGGCCGAGGATTCCGACACACTTCTGGTACGAACCTCGTGTTCCTTGAAACACTCTTCAAATGTCAGGAATA